TCTTTTAAATTTTTTTTTAAAATTTATTTATATGATATTTACAACTGTATACAAAAAATACATCTGGTAAATTCGCACATGGATATAATGACATGAAACACATGTTGAGAAACTACCCATTGGCAGCACTCTAATAATATGTCTATATTATGAGATCACGTGGCCATCTTCTTTTCAGACGCCTCGGAGGATTATCAGGAATTGAATACGAAGCAAGGTTAGAAACAAGAGGGTTGGGATGGTTATGAAGTTTATTATGGGAGGACAGATATCTGGATTGGGCCAAATGTGATACATAAGGAACATTAAGGTCACTATGGATGATTTTATTTGTAACAAAGTAAGGAGCATTGAGGATTTTACGAAGGATTTTAGATTGTAAGGATTGGATGCGAGAGGAATTTGAAGGTTTGGTGGAGCCCCAACAATAGCTCAACTCCGTAAGTCCAAATAGACCTTATTATAGTCATGTAAATTAGTCTTTTATAGTTAATTGGAAGGTTAGAGCGTTTGTCTAGTAAATGTTGAAGTAGTCGGAAACGTCGAGCTGTTTCTTGTCGTTTCAGTCTGGTATGAGGATTCCAAGTTAGACGTTTGTCCAGATGGAGTCCTAGGTTTTTTTTCTAATTTTTTATTTGTGCCAACGTTTCAGCCCTAACATGTGGGTCATCTTCAGGACGTGGTTGGAGCACTGAATGTTTTCAAATACTGGGTACTTGAGTACTGCGAATTATAGTACAGAGTACTTCCGAGTACTTGAAAGCTTCAGTGCTTGAACCACGCCCTGAAGATTACCCACATGTTTGGGTTGAAACGTTGGCAAAAATAAAAAATTATTTTTAAAAGACTCCGTCTTGAATATTTATCTTCCATGATATGTAGAACAATCGACTAACTTCCTTCAATAAGAAATAAAACCGTTGTCTTTGTAAGTATTTCAGTTAGTTATTCACAGAAAGGAGGGTAAATACATAAAATCACTCGACTATTATAACAAATATTAACACTAATTTCACAGGGGATCGATTCTTAAAGAATTGATTATATACGTGCTTAATAATCTTAAATCACTAAAGGTTAGTTCAATTAGTGACAACACGGAAGAAACTCACTCTATATATTTAGGATTTAAATCATATTATTCTTAATTTTCGCATAGCGGTGTCAGAATCCTAATTATACAACCTTAAAGAATTCTTCTCTAATTCCCCAATTACGTCTTTCAATAGCCAAAATAAAAATAACTTCTTAAGTTCTGAGCATATTTCTACACCCATTAGATCTGAGGGTTTAGCCAGAGAAGTGTGTGATGCCATTGTCATTTTACAATATGAATGTTCCAATATTTTGTCGAAGGTCTTTTTGTTCTTCGTCGCCTCGAGACTTCCACAGAAATCCTATACTGCCCCTATTGTTATATTAAAATATAATGGAAATATCGATGCCCATTATTATTATTTATTTATTTTTAAAAATCTATTTTGGATTCTTCAATAAATTTGCGCAATGCCTTAATGATATCCCTATCTATAACAGTCAGCCAGCCCTTGGAGGAAAGGCTATTGTCTTGGATGAGGGGGTATTTCTTCCGGTATTTATCATATCTCTTGCATTTTAAAATAATGTTCAATGGGTCATCAATAGAGTTACATGTCGAACATTTATCATTTTTTTTCAGTTTTAATTAATGTCAAGCCGCGATTTGTTCGACCATGGTTAATTCTTAATCCTGTAAGTAATTTATTTTCTGCTTAACTTAACACAAGTGTTACGAGAACCATGGTCGTAGAGAGACGTTAGGTAGTGAAATGATCTTTACTTTTCGAACTTGAGTCCCAGCCATACCTATCCTGCTATTCACCAATAAAGTGTTGTTTTTTTTCCATATACTAATTTCCTGTAAAGTCAGTTTCGCATTATCCGCTCTTCTAGAACCCCATTTTGCTATCATATCAGCTCGTTCATTCCCATACAAACCAACATGATTTGGAACCCATTGAACCTTAAATTCGTTATTTGTTGAGCGATGAACTTCTTCTATCATATTATTTATTAGGTACGATGAAATATGTTGTTGATGTATGCTTATGTGTGAATTGCATACGGAAGCGGAATCAGTTAGAATTAAGACTTTTGTATTCTTATATTTTCTGTTGACTATTTTGAAAGCTTCAACGACAGCGTATAATTCATCACTGTATATACTAAACTTTGTAGGGAGATTTATGGATGTATCCTGGTTATATTGGACATCATATATCCCGACTGCAACTTTTTTTTATCTTTAGATGGGTCTGTATACATTTTTTGATAATTTTTATATTTTTCAGACCATATTTCCAGTCTTTTCTGTTTTAGAATTGATGATGGATTGTGTATTCTGGACAAATCTGATTGAAATAGCTTGGGAATGGTTTTTATGATAATTTATGATTTTGGAATGGGAGCCACATAGGTCGTGTGGTCCGGGGTTGATGGCAATGTATTAAATAGATGTTTTATTTCTTGGACTATGATTCCTACTTTTTGAAGATAAGGTGCCGTTTCGCTTGGTAGCTTGATTTAGCGGGTGAGAACTATTTGAGGCCACTTTTAAAAGGAATTTTTTTACTAACCAATTTCTTCTCATTTGAAGATGAGATTCACCGGCTTCAGCTTTCAATGCATTTGTAGGGCTTGTGCGAAATGATCCTAAACATAACCTAAGAGCATTGTTTTATGTTGTATCTAGCTTTTTTATTAATGGTGAGCTAGTCTCATTGTATATTATTGATGTATAGTCTATTATTGGTCTGGTTATACTTTTGTAAATGGTAAGTAGATTATGTGGGCGGGCTCCCCATGTAACCCCTGTTGTTGATTTTATAATTTTTAATGTTTTGGCTGCTTTGTTCGAAGGTCTTGGTCAAATCCATAAAATTCTTCAAATTTGAATAGGACTTGCCTAAAAGCATTAATGACCCCTCTAATATAGTAAGTTACTTCGTTAAGCTTTCTGTTTAGAACTCAATTAATTAGCTTGATTAGACTAATTGTTATATGGGAAAATATTGTTAAGACTGATAGATATTGATAATATTGAGTAAAAGGCAGCTTTATGAAAACAATTTTTCAGTAATTTTAAATATTTTACACGGAAATGCGAAGTGGTTAAATGATACAGGTTGGATATTAGATATTTGCTGGTCAGGCTTGTTGTTTCTAAGAATTAAATAGCTGAATCTCACATAATCTATTTAAATCTTCTACTCGATGAGACAGAACAATATTTCATTCAATAAAAGTTCGTAATACGAAATTCTGAATAAATAATTACTATTAATACAAAAACAAACAATATTTCGTATATTTTTATACATATTGAAATAGTACAAACCAAGAGATAGACATGACACCTTATTCAATTAACGTAGGTGCACTAGCGGATCCACGATTTCATTTTTGGGGAGGGCTTCAACACGAAAGGTTTTTTTTTTTTAAATATAACGTAAATTACATTGAAAGAAAAAGAAAAGAACTAAATACCTATAAGAAATGGAGTTAAAATGATTCTTGAAGTCCTATTAAATGTAATTAAACGAACAATAATACCTTTAGAGGTAATTTTTTTACCTTTTTTTTACAAGACATGGTAATATTATACCATTTTGGGGAGGATATTTAGCCCAAAAACCCCTCTTTAGGAGATCCGCTTGTGCATAGGAGCAATCCATGCAAAACTCATTCAATCCATATATTTCGGATTATAGGTGCATACTAGTCAACGTAATGTTGTAAATAGTACTTGTTATAGTAAACTATCTCTATAATACTTTTTTGAAATAGGGTTGATAAACAGTCACCACACGAAGTCAACTATGTCAGTAATAACATAATGTCATGTTAATGAACATCATTTTTGAAAAGCAGCAAAAAAGTTATTCATTTGAAATATGTCATTTGTGATAGCGTGAATTTTCAGAAAATGCTTATGTAAGTGACGAAGATTATTTTATTAAACATTTCAGATTCAAATATATTAGAGTGAATATAGAACTAATAAAAAATAAATAAGACGCCCATTAAATTATTTCCAATACAGTATGCTAATTAGCATAATTAGGTATGAATGTGTTCATATATCACTATAATTATTGGCCACGTTACAGATTGTTATATTAATAAATAATAATAAATATAATTGGAATTAGCATAATACCTGGTGACTTTAATCACTATAGGCGTGAAAATGAGTTAGGGAAAAGTTTTTTATCTACTTTTTAAGTTTAACAAAGTTTTAGATCAAGTTCCAAACACATAGCTGAGCTCATCGATGGGATTGACATCGCTGAGCTCATCGATGGAATCGGAAATCCTTTACGCCGTTTCTAAACTCAACGAAGACATTTACGTTAAACAATGATTCAATCACAAATGGCTCAGCTGTTTCGTCAACATTTGGCGTCAATGGATGTAACCTCATAATTACCTTATTGTTGTTATTTCTTAATTTACAGTACATATTTATATTCGGTTACTTTCTATCTATATTTATTTCTGTTAGAATTTAGAAACATGCTCTATATAATAACACAATAAAAAAATAAATTAAACAGTACAGAATGGTAACTTATCTTTAGATGTTAATATTGGGGACATAGCGTAGAGTGAGGGGGGATAGCAGTATCGAATTTTAGTTTGGAGCACATCATTGTAAAAACTATGTTAAGCCAAAGAAGTAACCAGAATTTTCAGTTTTTACAAATCGAGTAAAAACAACTTATTTCTTTTTCAATAATTATTATGGAATTGTCATTTATAATTTTATATTTGTACTGATCTTCTATTAATATTTTATATATTTCAAGTAAACTTAAGGGACACCTGGCTATGAAATTATTTTAAGTGCTTCATAGCTATTTTTTTGAGATTAAACTTATTTAAAGTAACAAAAATGCATTATAGGATTCTATTTGAAAATTTGTTTTTAAATATAAATATAAGTATTAAGGCTGACTTACCTGCCCTAGATCTATGGTAAAGTTGACTTGACTGTAGGTCATGCCCCTCGACAACGGAGGCGACATCCAGTAGGACTCGGTACCGTCCACTGCGGCGGTCGCAGGGTGGCTCTTCGAAGGCTCGTTGGCGTCGCAGACATCACACACCTAAAATAAAAATATTTACCAAATTAGAAAATAATTAAAAACGAAGAAATCTCTTTTTAAAATAATTTTTCTATTACATCATTACAATCACAATGTTCAATTAATAGTCCTGAGATGGATTACCTTAAACCTATTTGTGTATTTAGAAATGGTCACCTGCTACAACAAGTTAGCTGCTTTAAGTCAGTGGGAAATTTATGTTGGGCAGAGTCATATCGTTGAGATTTCAATTAATTTACAAATGAATTGATTTAAATCAATATAATAATGAGCCTTATTGAAATCGATATAAACTTGAAGAAACTACATCATCCATTGTTACATTGTATTTCTGTTATCAAGTGAATGACCGAAATATAAAAAGAAGTTGGAATTGGCAATCATGAGTTTGAGCCTCATTAGGCTGCTCTCTTTTTATAAAGCCAAAAAAAAAAAAAAAAAGGAGGAAAGGAATGATAGTATTTAAGCTGAATAATGTAGATTTATTTACAACCATATTTTTCAGGAAACACGTAAAAGCTGTGGGATGCATAGCTATGTATGTATATACATGTAAGATGCCTGTGCAGCGACCCACTGCTGCATTTAAGATATTTTACATTTTGTATCCTCAATTGTGCATACAGTTTGTTTACTTCTATTTTTCCATTTCATTAACCAATGTTCACTCCTTCCCAGAAAGAGGCAAAAGATTATAACTTTTCTCCTCACCAATATTGCACATAAAGGTCTCGAGGTACAGGCACCTCTCCATGATCATTAGTTGAGGATGATTGGTGCTGCCAGAACTTAGAGCTCAATAGTTTAGTCTTCAGTTCCTCATAGCTCCTAAACGATGCATCAAAGCGAAACATGTACCCTTTAAGAAATTAAAGAACGTTAAATTGTGCGTCGAAAGACTACCTGAACTTAATAATATAGTGGTAGAAATGGTATGGTAGAAAAATACTGTTAAATAACGCTGGTTTTCATCCCAGGCATTCACATGTTTCATTCTGGTACAGTGAGTTGAAGTGTCGTTATTCTACTTCCCGACGACAATTCCTCCTTGGTGTTTTCCTTTTCCAAGTCTTCAGAACCACAAACCTTCCCTACATCCTGGAACTCCTTACTCTACGCTCCTCTATCCACTCTCTCAATACTAGATCTCAACCTATAGACTTATATATTCCTTCCCATAAAACTTCCTCCTTCAGCAAATCCTTCGTCATTCGTGCTGCTTCTCTATGGAACTCACTTCCTATCTCCATGCGTCAATCCTCGTTCACAAATTCCTTCAAACAACTCCTGTTCCAACACCTACTCCACATTCAAACTTCGTCTAACATGTAAAATTACTTGCATCTGTACAATGTTTAATTTCAATCCATTGCACAATTGAAATAACAATTAACAGTAAATTAGTTTGTATTTTTTAAATTTTAAGCCAGACTAATACCCATAAATTTGAAACGGTTATTATTCTTAGGGGACTTTTAGTCCCAGAATAAAATTATTTTTTCATTAATTTCATTCATTCATTTCATATTTACCAAATTTGTCAAAAACTGAGACAACTTACTGTAAATAGCGCTATAGGTTGGAAATGTGTTCTCTAAGAGGAAAAACCCATTGAATCAAAGTTGTAGAGCTATCCTTTTCATAAAAACAGTGCAAACGAAAGTATTATTAGAAAAAATTTTCCCCGGTTGAAAATTCCTTTAATAATTATAATCCCGTCAAAATATGGTTTCCTACGAAAATGTATAACTTCATCAAAATGTACCCTCCCAAAAATCTTAAATCCCGTAAAAATATGCCCACAAATTTTCATGGCAAGTTTTTAATAATCATAAAACACAATGAACATACTAAAATTTTCTTGGTTGTTAATATCGTCATAGTGACGATGAAGTTTTTATCCAGGTATGTAAGAAGGTAATAGCTTCATCAATTTTGTGTGTTGCGTAAACTTTTTAATAATATTATTTTATTCGAATGTATCAGGAATAAAAAGGATATATATTTAACTAAACTAATACAAATAATTTTTTTTTTTCTTTTTTTCCTGGGAAGTTGTCAATTTAATTTAGTTGCTTGGCAATAATAACTTCCAATTATTAACAATTCGAGTATATTTTTAACGTTACATGTTAACAGTCTAGTTTACGTTTCGGGACCTTTTATTCCCATCTTCAGAACTGCAATTCCAATACTCTTGTGGATGCAAGGCTAAAATTTTTTTTTTTTTTTTTTTTTTTAAGTTACAATATTGTGCTTGTTACATTACATATTTGTATTATGTTTGTTACAATAAATTTGTAATTACCTTAATTCTAATAATAATAATAATGTGCTCCATCGTCAATTTTCTAATTTAGGTTCTAAAATTTATCATCTAGAGCAACATTCTCTTTTTGACCAATAATTGGTTTTCTACCATAGTGAAAATTTGACCTTTGGATTTAAATGTTTTATCTGACTATTTTGATTGTTGTTGTTAGTGTTTATTTTATGTGTCTGTGATTTCACTTTTATTAAATTTTAATTTTGTTCAATATGTCTGTATAATGGGTTCCTAAATGTTTAGTGTCTGTTTTGTAGTTGACTGTTGTTCTGTTGTTTTTTGTAATGTGTATTGCTTCAAGTAATTTTCTGTTGGTGTTCATTGGTTCTGTGCCTATTATCTGTGGTTTGTTAAAGTTAAATTTATGCTGTAGTTTTATACTGTGATGTGCTAAGGCTGTTGTGTTTATGTTTTTTGGATTTTTACAGTTGGTGAAGTGTTGTGCGATTCTAGTTCCTAATTGTTTGGATGTTTCACCAATGTAGATTTTGGAGCAGTTTTGACAGTTTAATTTATATATTGCATTTTTCTTGTTTATTGGTTCTATTTTATCTTTTGTGTTGGTGATGTGCCTGCTTAGTTTCTTGTTATTGTATTGTCCGAATTTAATTTCTGTCAAGTCATAATCTTTGAACACGTTTTTAATTTTGTTAGTGAGTCCAGGTATGTATGTCATTTTGTAGTAGTAGTTGAAGTCCATTCTGTTTGTTTGTGACATGTTATCCTGATTGTTTTCGTTTGTTGGATTTGTTTTTTCAAAAAATTGAGTGATGAATCAGGAATAAAAAGGATATATATTTAACTAAACTAATACAAATAATTTTTAATAAATAAAAATATAATCTTTTTTATACAATTATATGAATTTATATCAACAATATCCAAAATAAAAATGAATTTAATTCCGTATAAATGAACACATTCGGAAATGTAAATTAAACATGCGGTTAATTAAAATCTAGGCGCTGCAAATACTAAACCGTCCAATGCAGTCAGAATCCGCAGCAGTCAACATATTCCGATGGGAATCACATTAATACTTTTCCTGACTGATGCTTCATGGAATATGATTATCAACCCCACAATTCCAATTTTGATGTAGGTTAATGCTAAATAATTTACACTGTTGAATGGATCATTTTATCCACTATAAAATTACCAATTTTAAATATTTGTAAATAAATGAATGGCCAATGAAGGTAATGAATACAAACATTTAAAATTTTGATTGTGATATATTGAAATGTGGAAAGAACTGTTAATTAATGAACAAATTTCATTATATATACATATGTGTGTTTGTGTTTTTATAGAATATATGTTTATATCAATATATCTATAATTGAACATTTTAGTTGTTTTTTTCCCTCGTTTGGGAAAACAGTTCTCAATCTCATTCCAGTATTGACCAAGCTACCTGTAAGCAGAACGGGTCGATCCTCACACCATGCACCACAATGCCAAGGGTACGTGTGCAGAAATTGACTCCCTTGTGACGTAGTTGAGTTCTTTGTACTGCTGAATAGACTAAGCAGGAAGGGACTCCGTAGTCCAAAAGCGGTCAAAACATGTGGCCGTAGAAAAATAGGGTCGGTCCTGGTCAAGGTTTGGGTTTTAAGTTTTATTTAGAAAATACTGAATATTATACAGCGTCCGTTTTATACAATAATACAAATTAAACATAGTAAATCTAGTATTAAACCTATTCCAGTAATGTAGTGCTTTTTATGAATCAATGGTTTCCTACTGCTATTTTGCTTATACCCTGATATTTAAACTGTGGTGTACTTGAATCTTGAACAATAAGGGGTCTTTAAGAGGGAGGCTAAAATGAATTTATGAGAGACCACAAGTTAGGTTTATAGACACAAAAAGTGCAGACGTTCTGATTTGTCTAATTGTAAGAAATAATTGGATCAGATTTACCCAAAATTCATAAAAAGGTTTATTTAAAGAAAATCAGAATCGTCTACTAATAACTCATATGTAAAATAATAAAAGTTTAAAAATGGCAAACCATAATAAAACAAATCAAACGGGTAGGTATTAACGGGTTGATTAAATATATTAATATAAAAAATATATATACTACTATATATTAATTAATTCATTGTTCAATACATTATGTCATTTTATCTTTCTGTTTTGATAAAACCACACCGTCGAATTATTTTTTTTATTGGAATCCATTGCAAGTTCCTTTAATATGTTCGCGGATTCATACAATGAAATTCGACCGAACACATACTCCCTCTTACACGACACTAAACACCATTAAAAAAAAAAGCTTTCAATTCTATTTTCTAAAAATCATCTCACATAAGTAAAACGAAAATGACCCTAAAGCCTACTCTGATAATTCAATAATAAAATAGATTGAAAAGCTACAATAAGTAAAGTTATTACCATCCCTAATAATGCTTTTGATTATTACATATATTTAATCCATTGAACGTTATATTATTACGATATTAATTGATCATACCAAAATTTGCATGGTTGTTAATTCATCAAAGTATTTTGTTAATATTAATAAAAAAAAATTAAAACAGTATAGTTTTTAGTATATGTTTCCTGGGTGGGCTTGGTGCAGGAATGCAAAACCGGAAGTGAAAAAGAAAAAGAAGACCACACTTTAGACATTTTTTCCATCACCAATATCTGAATACAGCGA